GAGGACCGCACCACTGTTCATCAATGACAACCTGTCAGTGATGTGTGCAGCAGCGCGTTCCTCCTCACAGCCACTGTTGAGTCGGTGACAACCAGCAGCTGCGGAGGAGGTGGCTGGTCCCGTTGTCGGCAGTGATGGAGGAGATGGGGCCCGGCGAAGGAGGAGGCGGGGCCCTGTGAGGAGGAGGGGCCCGCCAGCGACCGTGGAGGAGGCGGACAGAGGATCGGGGCTGACAGGTAAGAGGATTTGACCAGCCCACCTGAGACCCTGCAGAACCCACCATAGAGAGTCTATGGTGGGCTCCGCAGGGTCACTCTCAGGTGGGCTGTTTGGGAGATCAGGTGGGCGTAACTAGAAATCACAGGGCCCCATACAACATTTTGCTATGGGGCCCTGTAATTTCTAGTTACGCCCACCTGATAGGATGTACTTCGTTAATGCACTGACACCATATCACTCAGCCCTGTTAATATGCACTTTCTTGTGTCACCACTATCGCAGAGCCTGCCTTCTGTCTGAACAATGGAACAGTATCACTTCCCCCTCCCTCTTAGATTGTAAGCCCTCAGGGGCAGGGCCCTCCTCACCATCTTGTCCTGAATTGTACTGTGATTGTAATGTCTGCCCTACATTGTAAAGCGCTGCGCAAACTGTTTTTTTTTTCAAGTAAGCTTTGATTGTATTATCAGAAACAACTCTAGTATGTATTCCTATTACAATGCTGATGTTATAACAGGAGAGGATATGCTGGGAATTCCCTTTAATTCATGAAATCTCAGAAAGAGTCATCCAAAAAGAGGTAAGTCGCTGCAATAAATTCACTTGTGCAAAATTTTAGCTTGAACTACAGACCTCAGGAAACAAAAGGCTTTTTACAACAAAGGAATAAAGGAGACAGAAGAAAACATGTAATAAAAAAAAGGAGCCTAAAGCACCACCTGCTGGCTCAAAAGAAGAATACACAATACAGTAAACTCTCTGTTATCCGGTATTCAACTGACCAGAACTCTC